ACTTCTATTAATTCAAAAATTCCCAAAAAAATCATGTAATCTTGTTTTTAATCATAGAATCAGAATATATTTTTACTTTAACCATTTCATGATGTTTGGTTATGGTTTGCATTTTCTTGCCATTAAATAATAATTTTTATTATTAATTGTTTATTTTTTTGTTTTTAATATTTTCCCTTTATCCAAAAAAATCACAAAAATTCAGGGATGTGTGTTTTTAGCCCTAATATTTGAGCATAATTTTGGTTGGCCATTTTTCTGACTTTTTGATTTAAACATTATCTTGATATGTGAATATTTGTTAATTACATAATTGTTTGATTATTAATTTCTTTCTTGACTTTTCCTAATTCAAAAAAATATGGAAAAATATATTTTCTGACATTTAGGGTTCCTTTATGATTTGTATGATCTTGACTTAATTTGTTTGAATTTTGATCTCATTTAATCAATACTTGAGATAAAAAGTCAAAAATTAGGGTTTTGTTGCTTATGGTGCAAGTTTCTTTTTTTAACCCTTGTGTCTTGGACTTTATTGGGAATTCAGGTCTTGTTTATGGTTCATGAATGTGTTGGGGATTTGAAAACCATTTTTCTTGAATTATTTGACTTGGTTTGACATTTTTCCACAAATTATTTTGAAAACTTGTCTAGTTTGGTAGTTTTGCCAACTAGTCTTGAACTTTGAACTTCACTTGACCTCTTTCTCAATCATTCATGAACTTAGGGCTTTCATTCTGACTTTTATACCTTTCAAGGATGCTAATTTGTTTTTGGTTTGAATTATGGATCATTATCCCCATTTTGATGCAATTTTGAAGTGAAGGTACCCAATTATGTTTGCATGTCTTGTTGCAATTTGTTAGTTGGCCAATGAACTTGGATGAGGCCTATAATTGGGAACCTAATGATCATGTTGATTCTGATTGTCCATGTTAACTCAAGCCATTTCATTTGAATGCTTTATGTTTGAATGTTTTGAACCATTTAATGCATTATGAAGGTTTTATCTTTTGTTGTGTTCATGAAGTTGTGATTGAATTAATTGTGCATGATCGAATTCTGTTTGTTACTGACCTTCATGGCCTTTGTTTACTTTATTTTAAAGCTCTTATGATCCTTGATTGACATTCAGTTGTCAACTCAATATGGTGATAGAAAGGAGCAACATTTCTCTATTTCTCTTGACCTAATTGTGCATATGCCTGTTTCCTCTTACCTGTCATGTCTAATGTTTGATAATTGTCATCATGTTATTCTCACCTCATCAAGTTGCATTCATCCCCCATGTGAGCCATCATTCACCTTATGGAATACTAACTTGGTTGTTGAATGTGCGAGGTACTCTGAGAAAGTTTCCACTTTTGACCTGAGGATTTTGTGTTTCACTTTATTTGTGAAACACAACTTATTATATTGGCACTGCTATTGTATTTGGCATATTTGATATTCCATGCAGGACATATACATTTGATTGTGAATGTTTCCCATTGTCCCTGGGATTTGTTCATATCTGATAAATTGCTTACATCCTGATGGTGCAACACCTGACTCAATTTGTCTACTGATGCCAACTTGCTTGAAGTTTCTCTGGGTTTCTTTTATTTTTGCTTGACTGCTACATATAGTTATCTATTTGGTATTGTACTATTTCCTTTCTCCCAATTTTATTTTGCATAGTTCTATGGTTGCATGATGGGACCTCTGTTGCTGATATATGTCAGGAGGCCCTCTGTTTTTTGTCTGATGCATGTGTTGTGTTTGTTTTTGATCGATGAGTCACTCAATTTAGAAATTGAGATCATGACTTCGCTCTCAGTGCATGTTCCCTATAGGATGTTTATTGCTTTACTTCTTTATTTGTTGATCGATGAGTCAATCAATTTTGAAATTGAGATCACGACTTCGCTCTCATTGCATGTTCCCTATAGGATGTTTATTGCTTTTCTTCTTTATTTGTTGATCGATGAGTCACTCAATTTAGAAATTGAGATCACGACTTCGCTCTCATTGCATGTTCCCTGTAGGATAATTTTGTTGGCTCCCTCTAACATGTAAACATAGGATATGATTCTCCTTCATCCTCAACATTAGGGTCAACCATTGTATGATAACACTAGGGATAACACTAGGTTAGTTTTCCTTAGTTGTTTTTCCATTCTATGCATTCTGCATCATAAGGTACCTCTAATGAACTCAAGCCCTTCTTCAAAGTAAAAGATACAAACCAATCTTGCCTTGTCTGTGTTATCTTGAAGCCGATGTTTCGCCATCGCACATGTTTGTTATCCTACTTTGATTCTCAATATCATTGTTAGGTGTGATGTTTCGTCATCCGATTTATTGATGTTTTGCCATCTTTGCCATGATATCTTGTTATCTTGAAGCCGATGTTTCGCCATCACACATGTTTGTTATCCTACTTTGATTCTCAATATCATTGTTAGGTGTGATGTTTCGTCATCTGATTTATTGATATTTTGCCATCTTTGCCATGATATCTTGTTATCTTGAAGCCGATGTTTTGTCATCGCACATGTTGGTTATCCTACTTTGGTTCTCAATACCATTGTTAGGTGTGATGTTTTGACATCCATCTTATTGATGTTTCGTCATCTTTGCCATGCCATCTTGTTATCTTTTATCGATGTTTTGCCATCGCACATTTGTTTGAAGCGGATGTCTCGCCACCGCACATGTTCGTTATCCTACTTTGATTCTCAATATCATTGTTAGGTGTGATGTTTTGTCATTCGATTTATTGATGTTTTGCCATCTTTGCCATGATATCTTGTTATCATTTAGCCTATGTTTCGCCATCGCACATTTGTTTGAAGCCGATGTTTCGCCATCGCACCTGTTTGTTATCCTACTTTGATCCTCAATATCATTGTTAGGTATGATATTTTGTCATTCGTTTTATCGATGTTTCGCCATCTTTGACATGTTACTTTGTTATTTTTTAACCGATGTTTTACCATCTCATTTGTTTGTTTTATCTGATGTTTTGCCATCTTGACTATTTTTGTTGTCTTAACTAAAAAACACAAACCAACCAAAATATGTAAGCTGAACTATGGCTGCTCTGATTCCTTAAAAGGGATACGTATGCATTGGGGTAGGGTACAACCGAGCATAACTCTTTTTTCCCTACATTGTTTTATTTACCTTTCGCATGCATTCCCTTTTCAGTTGTAAGACATAGACATAGGATTTGACCACACCCATTTAGATTAGACAACAAGAGTGGATACCGTAGAGTACTACGGGCGTGTGGGGTGCTAATACCTTCCCCTCGCGTAACAGACTCCCTTACCCGATCTCTCGGTCGAAAGACCGTGATTTCTCCCTTTTCAGGTTTTCTCGATGTTTACCTTTCTCTCTCGGCGGGATAAAAGACGTTTGGTGGCGACTTCATTGATGTTTCATTAACATCCAGATGAGAGGTTATGGCCGCGTAGTTTCACCGCATAACTAGAAACAGACATTTCTGCACATGATAACGGCTAGTTCCAGACACCTTTTCCCAAGATAACAAGCACGAGTTATTCGTCCATCTTTTACGCAGGAATTCTAGCAGTTATGCATTTTGGACCTAGATATTCAGCCCATAATGCAAACCAATGGCCAAGCGCTGAGGGCGCTATAAATACCCTCACACTTGTGAGAGTCAGGTATTCAACATTCAACTCTTAATCGCTTTTTTTCTCACGCATCTCTACACTCTTATTTAATTGAACATCAAAGTGTCTTGGAAGTAAACCCCTCTTCTCCATAATTTCAACACTGTAGATAAAGTTACTGATCCATTACAAATAAGATTTGTTAGGGGTGTTCGCGGTTTAGTTTGAATCGGTTTTAAGACAAAAAATCATCCGATCCAAAGATAAATTTACTTGCGGTTCGGTTCAGTTTTGGATGATATATTAAAAAAATCCAATCTGATCCGATCCAATTTTATGCGGTTTAATTTGAATCGATTTTTGGATATCCAAATTACACATTATATTTTTATTATTATAAAACTACTAATAAATTATAGATTTGATATAATATATAACATATAGTATATTAAAAGTTAATATTATAAAATGAGACTAGTTGATTATGATTGAAATAATAAAAATAAATAAATTATACCAAATTAATAACTATTATTTAAAAAAATTATTATTATCTAATAATAAATTCACATAAGATATCATACTAATAAAAAGTAAATAAATATAAAAATATATGTATGCAGTTTGGTTTGATTTGAATCGGTTTTGAAAAATTAATTCGAAATTCGATTTTAACCGATCAATTTTCACAAAATGACATTCAAACACATTCAATAAATTTCAGTTTTTTATGATTTTTGATTTTTTAGATCGATTTTTAATTTTTGATTTGAATTGATTTGAATTTGAATACCTCTAAATCAATTATATTTAATGATTATATTTGATGATTCTGGGGTATTATAATCAAATTATTAGTTAAGTGGGGTTCAACTATGGGGTGCCGATAGATTCTTCCAGAATATATCGCAGGGCTTGGGCTTAACATATTTGGACACTTATCTCTTTAGAAAGTACAAAAGAGGGGCCCAAAACACAAAAACCGCGGCGCCAAAACATTTCCAGAATTCTCCAAAACCAGAACGTTCGTCAATGGCGGTTTTAGGCCTTTCAACTTCCACACTCCCCTCCTTCTATCTTCGCTCTACAACCATTCACCGATCCAACCCTTCCACCATCCCCCGCTCCTTCCTCTCTCATCCTCCTCCTTTCCCTAACTTCACTCTTTCCAATCCACACTCCCAAATCGCCGTTGTCTCGTCCGATTCCAAGACCTCTTCATTTGACCTAAGTGCCCCAGATTTGGACAATAGCGGCGGCGGCGGAAGTATTAAAGGTAACGGAGACGATTTTAGCGGCGGAGGAGGCGGTGGTGAAGGAGGAGGCGGAGACGATATTAATAAGGGAGAGGAAGGATCGAGCGGTGATAAAAGGAAGATGGCTTTGTCAATGTCGCAGAAATTGACTCTAGGTTATGCGATTCTCGTCGGAGGTATATATCTCTCTGAAATGCCAACGCTTTATCAGCGTTACTAAACCCTAGATTCTAATCGTTAAAAACTTTAGTTAATTTGTTTGATTCACTTCAATTTTTTTTTTGTTAATTATATAACTTCGATTTCACATTTGTAGATTTGCAAAATGTATGATGTTTTTCATAGACTTAATTTAATTACTAGGAATTTTTACAGATCTTTTAATCCTATAGTAGCATTGATAAATTTCAATGTTGATAAGTTTGTATTTTGATAAGATAAGCTTGTAGAGTAAGTGATTTCTGAATAATAAGTTTGTTTTATTGTTTTGCTTAATTTGTGTGTATAGTACCCAATTTAACTAATCATATTTGTTCTTTTACAGAATGATTCATACTGTTAACAAATGTAATTTAGTGTGTTCTTTTACAGAATAATTTGTAATGTAAACGGACGTAATTTAGTGTTTTTTCTGTTGTGACATTTACATAATGATATTTTTATCGGTTTTGACAGCGGGTGGTGTAATGGGCTATCTGAAGAGTGGTAGCCAGAAGTCACTTTTAGCTGGGGGTTTGTCTTCTGCACTGCTGTTTTATGTTTTCACCGAGCTACCCGGAAGACCTGTTCTTGCATCATCTGTGGGCCTTGGTTAGTAACATCTAAACTGAATTGTTTGTCAAGATATCCTCATTATTGATAGATTAAAACCTCTCAGAAGTAGTGGTAGATATATGATGGCTTTCTCTTTGTGCTTTGTTGGTTAAAACCTATCTGAACAAGGATGAATTAGTACTTTTGGTAAATATCTTCCAACATTCATTTCTTGAGGAAGAAACATTGCCATGCCTAAGTTTCTTACTCATATTTTAAGGTATTATAGAACCTACCAAAGGCCAAAATCAAATTAAGTTGCAAATTGTTCAACTAGTTATGAATGAGAGACCATGATGATTGCACCATTCTATTGTTATACAATTATGGTTAGAAATTGTAGTTTCTCACATGAATTTATTTTCTTTGAAGTTTATGACAACTCCAAATCACATTTGGCACTGAAATGCATTGTGGAATTTCTCAAGCTCTGTTCCTGAATTCTATTTTAACATAGTATGCAAGTTTGATAATCTTGTGATATTGTTTCCTTCTCTTATATAGGTATATCTGCTGCACTTCTTGCGGTGATGGGTTCTCGTTTCAAGAAATCAGGGAAGGTCTTTCCAGCAGGTGTTGTGTCCCTTGTGTCATTCATAATGACTGGTGGTTACTTGCATGGAATTATGCGTAGTACACACTAGAATGTAAATAAAATAAAAACAGTGAGAAATCCTATAAACTGCGCTGAATACAATTCCCACTTTGTTGTGAAACTTGTGGTTTGTACTGTAGACCCGAGGTTTATGTTTGTCATACACAAACATTTGTTGTGAAATAAAGATGATGAATGGGAACTTTCCTTTGGCCTTGAACACATTGCTTTATTTTGCTCCTGGCTGTGTTTGAACCCGTGATTATGCAAAAAAACATGTGAAATAGATTGAGTGTTATAAGCATAAGGAAATACATTCATTTAAAATTGGTTGTGTGTGTATGTGAAAACAGGTTAGCTATGATTTGACAATTATACATTTAACCTTTTTTTAAGCAAATTGAAATTTTGAACACTTTGATTTAAATTTGAGGACAGGACGTAATAAGATTTGTTGTTCAGTGTTTGATGCTATAATATTAGACAAAAATTCAAATTCTTGTCTCTTGAATTGAAGGACAATTTTTTGTCCACTAACAGATTGAGCAAAAGACAATAATATCAAAATAAAATTTATGATCTATATTTCTATAATTCTATCTCATATAAACTTTTATAAACGAACATTTCTTATATTTTTTTTAGAAAGACGTTTGATTTATTTATTTGTTAGGTTTACTGATTGTATTTGACCAGAATGGACCGTCACAATTTACATCGAACAGAATTTGAGAGTGAGGTGGGGTATCTGCAAGACATTTCGATGTCAAAGTGAGATTTAGAATGAGCAAGTAAGAGTGAAAAATGTTTAAAATCTGACTATCTCGAAAGAGAGGGTATTTATAGTCCCTAATGTTGGGCCATGTTGAGGTCTAATAATGGAGATTGCCAGGGCTTACGTGTGTATAGAGTTCAGTAAGTGGACTCCACCTGATCAACTGCTCCGTGAGAATAGAGGTTGGACTTGTGATTTTCGAAGGGCAGTTAAGATGACGATGATGTGGGGGCGTGGGCCACGTTCTCAACGGATGTATGGGGAGTTGCTCAATGGTCCCTAACTTGGACTGTTTACTTTTGGGTCTTATACAAGAGTGTTAGATTGGGCCTCTCAATCGGAGGACAGGTGCAGGTCCAGTCCAGATCAGGAGCCCTCAAGTTATTGTCCATAGGTGAAAGGGTGATGACTTAAGTTCAACTTTTATAGCCGGGGAGGATTTAATCGGGAAGGATGGTCGAAGTCCTCTGAAAGGAAGCAAGTTGTTGCCCGCGTAAGGGACAACCTGTTTGAATGTGTCGAGGATTTTCTGGGCAAACGAGCAGTGAGACCGATATGGTCAGTTGTTTGCTCGAGAGGACCGTATAAGTTACGAGGAACTTCTACGGGTTCTCTTTTGACGTGTCCGTCTTCAAGGGGTTGTCACGATGTCGAGCGTTATTTCAACCTCGAGGTGGATCGCGATGAATGTGCTCGTATACATGTCTCAATCGTGGCGTCGAGCATTCCCTCGTGTGAGATGTATGTCTCGTGCTCGCGTCAGGATTATGCGTTGAAGTCAGGGACGTGTTCGTCTATTGAAAATGGGCACGTGACTGATCGTTGTGCCACGTGGTTGTTGCTTTGGGGTGCCATCCCTTCAGGGGGAGTCCAAAAGGTCTAATCCAATGATAACTTTTCGTTATGAACCTCGTGGGGTATGAGCCACCTATAAAAGGTGACCTCTGAGTCTCATTTGTCATTTCTCTTTTAACGTCCCTTGCTCGTGCGTGAATCTTTTCTCTCAACTTTTTTAGATTTTTTTCAAGAATCCTTCATCTAGGTAAGTTATATCTCCTTAATAACGTATTTTCTTAGCGTTCTAGATTAAACACATAATATTTGTGTTGACTGGATGAATATTTATGAGTCCTGTGATGAACACTCATGAATGTTCATTGAAGTTCATGGGTTCTGCGACGAACACTCATAAATATTCATTGAAGTTCATGTGTTTATGATGTCGGGGACAATTTCCCCGAATAGTGGCCATGATGTAGGAGACGATCTCCCGGGATAATGAGGGTTGACTCGGGCTTCTTGCCCATTTGAGTGAATATCCCCAACAAAAATGTAGTCCGCTTTAGCGTATAGTCGAGGGCTTGTGTCGAGTTCATCGTCCTTTCACTTGATCTGCGGTGGAAGGGTGAATTTGATAATATCGAATTCACTATTTCCCCCTGCTTTTCAGGTATAATGGCGCACTCGGTCGAGGATGATGTTCTGCCCGCTAACTATGAAGATGAAACACACGTCGATGAGGACCCCTTGGCTTGAATTGCACCTGAGCCTCAAAATAAAAGGTTGTGCTTTGCTCATGACATAACAAACGCGTTCAACTGTTCGAAGGTACGAGTCGAAGGGGCCCCTGTCAACTGGATCCTTCAAATTCCCCATTGTAATCGGAGAATCTGCTCGACGTATCTGGGCAAACGTTTTCCTATGACGAGTTCACGTTTAAAGAGGCGGGGATGCGTTTTCCCTTCAACGATTTGCAAGTAGGGGTTTTTCAGTGGCTTCAATTGGCGTCCTCTCAATTTCACCCAAACGCGCTGGCGTTCATGCCGGCGTTCGAGCTTGTCTGTCTGTATCTGTAAATAGGCGTCACGCCGCCCCTCTTCTTCCGTATCTTTCACCTTCAAAGATAATCCATCGGAGGAGGGCAAGCGTGGGTGTCCTTCAAACAGTTCAGGAAGCTCTTTAGACCTTATCTAGAATCTGTCTGACACTTCAAAGAGAGGTACTTTATTGTGAAACCTTTGACGGATGCAGCCATAGACTCCCTATACACCCGCGTGGAGGAAGTGGAGGATGAGCGACCAGTTACCCGGCTCGTGGCCAGATTTTCGCTCGAGTGGCAATAAAAACATTTCGAGCAAAGGCCTGAGTATTATGCTGTGAAGCCCGGGGACTTGGATGCTCAGGACCAGCTCTCGTATGAGAAGTTGGCGGCCTATGTTAGGAGCTTCTCCCCCGCGAGGTGTGTGGACGTGAACAATAACCTCCTATTCGACAACAACGAGGAGTAACTCTTAGTTAATAGGTTCATCAACACGAAGGCCCTGTTTGAATGTTCCTCGAACGAGGAAGCCATGAGGATTTTAGGTAGGGGAAGCGGTCGCGATGATTACTTTTGCTTGCCTTTCATGTGAGGACGTGCTCGTGTTAATATCCTTTAACCCATGAGTGATGGTTTCTTTTTAATTGCAGGTTGAATGACGTTCCTCTCCGAGCGCTTATTGAAGTTGAAGCCTAAGAACGTGTCCATTTTGGGGCCAAAGAACAGGGTCACCCAGCTCTAAAAGCAGGTCAAATCTGCGGCCCGTGTCAGCGATTCCCCCTCTTCATCAAAAACTCGGGTTCCCCCTGGCGAGCCAGCCCAGATTCCCGTCAGCGAGCCCGTGACGAAGAGGAAACGCGTGGAGGATGTCGAAGGTGTCGTGTCCAAAGTTGATAAAGTGCCAGCGTGGGTCTTCGTGCTTCCTCCTTTCTATCTAAATCGTGATCTCTTCAGCGGGGAGAGCTCCTTGGGCGTGCACGAGGAGGAGAGAGAGGCGATTTTGTCTGAGGATAAGGAAGTTCGTCGAAAGAATTTGGCGGAGGATGTGACCACTGTTATGAGGATGCTCGAGACAACCTGTCGCTGAATGACGAGGTCACGAGTTCTCAGGCCTCTCTCGACGCAGCATATGCTAAGATTCATAAGCTGAAGGCCAAAAATCAAAAATTAAAGTGCGTCATCCTTAATCACGAGTCAAAGTTTGAGGCTTAAGTTAGACTTCTCAAGGATTTAAACGAGTTGCAGCCTCAATTGGAGGTCGTGACCAAAGAGAACGAGCGCCTTGTTGCCCGAATGAAAGAGTTGGCAGGGATCACGACCCCGATTGAAGAACAAACCGATGCAGAGAAGGGCATAGCATCCCGAGCAGAGCTAATTGTGCGCATCCGAGTGTTTGAGCAAGACGTCATGGACACCTTTGGCTATGGTTTCAACACGGGCGTGGAGCAACTAAGGATTCTGAACCTGGAGGTCGAGATTGTGGTCGAAGAAGAGAGTATGTTCAACCAAGTGATTGATGGGAAGATCTTTTATCCCCCGAAAACAGTGATGGGGAAGATGAGATTTGATTCGTTTTTAGGGTTTGTGTGCCCGTTCTCATTTTATTTTGGATTCGTGGTCGTCGTGCCTAATTTTGTAATTATTTAAATAACGTCAGCCCTCATGGTCAGCATTTATGAATGCCATCGTTTTGTTTTCATGCTCATTTATTTATAAATAATTCATCGTCGTTGTTTCTGACTTGTTTATTGTATGAAGATTCGTATTGCTAAGGTTGGATATTTATGCTCGACCTTGGTTGTGGTCGACACATGTCGAATGTGTCGAGGAAAAATGGATTAGGGATCCTGACGAGTTCAAGATCGCGGTCGAGATCTTAAACTCATGGCATAAACTGCCCATCGCGAGCTGGATGTTCTGCCTGTTGGGTACTTCGACAGCAGAGCTTGATTGAGGTGTCCCTGTCGTGCTAAGGTTCTGCTCGACAAATGAACAGTAACTCGCTGGCGTTGATATTTGAAGGTCATCCATACCTCAACATGCCTATGTGGTTGAGCTCACCCCTTCGTCGGTTGGATGGGATTGGTCGACTGCCAATGTCCATAATAGGATGAGGACTGAGCTATAATATTGTTTCAGTTTTGTGGCATTCCATAGTTGAGATAGTGGTTCTCCATTTAAATGCTTGAGGTAGTATGCCCCAATTTCTGTGGCCCCGCAGATTTGGTATGGTCCTTCCGAGTTCGCGGCCAGCTTCCCTTCCCCTTCTAGTTTCTTTGGAGGACTAGACCATCGACCTAAAATTTGCGCTTTATGACTTTGTTGTCGTGGCGTAGGGCTATCTATTGTTTAAGTGTGGCCTCGTGCAGAGATGCTCTTGAATGGATTTCTTTGACTAGGTCGAGCTCATCTCTGAGGGTCTCATCGTTCATCTCCTCGTCGAGCTGCATTTCAG